ATGGGATTTCTTTTGGGAGGAATATATTCTAAACTTAGATTGTGGTGATAGTTGCACAACTCTGTAAATATACTAAAGACCGTTGAATTTTGTGGTTTAAATGGATACATTTTATGGTGTATGAATTATATCTTAATAAAGATGTTAAAGAGATTACATACTGTACGATTCTATCTCTATAAAATTCTAGAAAATGAAGGTTAATCTGTGGTGCCGGAAGAGAGATCAGTGGTTGTTTGGGGATGGCAGGTGGAAAGCAGGTGGGGATGGGAGGGAGGGATTACAAAGAGGCATGACATAGCTTTTGTCGGTGATGGATATGTACACTATTTTGATTGTGGTGATGGTGTTATTGGTGTACATATGTCAAAACATAGCAAATTATATACTTTAAGCATGTACAGTTTATTATATATCAATAATAACTCATCTTTTAAAAAGCCAGAGCAAAAATGTGTGAAATTTGACAAATACCTATTAAGCACTGGTATAGTGTTAGATCCTAGAGATAGAACGGCAAGGAAAAGAAGGGTTCAGTCTTCAAGCAACTCACACTGTCAGGGAATAGGCAAAGAAAGAAGCACATGATTGCAAAATGGTGTCATATGAGTTCTGTAGAAATATGCCTGGTAAATCATGGTCGCACTTGTGGTGACAGATGGAGGGCAGAAGGTATTTAGGAAGACTTCCTGGAAGCAGTAGCTGTTGAGCTCAGCATTGAGCAATGGAAGTTAGAGGTAGAAGGTGGGATTTTGTAATAACAGAATGATCCTTCTTCCTAATGCAAATGTAGGGGGAGCTGTAGTAGCACATAGTACATACTTGTTATGTCTCAAAGGGGACTTGATTTTATTCTTACCATATTAAAGCTATGTTTTTCCCCAGGAGCCACATCACAGTGAAGCAGATCGGTGCACTAACAATAAGTGCAAAACAAGGATATAACATCCTTCACTGCCCTCTGCAGACTTGCTATTATTTATTTATTTGTGATTATTTATTTAAGGCCTGTCATTCCTGCTCTGTTTTTAGCTCTGTGAGGACCAGGTCTGACTGTTTATTTACCATCCTGTCCTTGGCAGGTAGCATAGTGCTTGGCACATAGCAGAGCTTGATAAAGATCTTTCACCGATGGGTTTGGATTTTGACTGGTATGGAGCACATAGGCACACATTTGACTAGTGACCTCAGGCATGGCTCAAACTTTTTATGACAGAAGGTATAAAATGAAGCAGTACAACTCACCCCCGCCCCCGCAACCCACTGCCTAGCCCCCACTGCTGTGTCTTAGTTCTGTCCCCAGCCATGCCAGCTCCCATCCACCCTAACCCTGCCTCCCGCAGGTTTCTCCTAGTAGCTTGGTGTTAGGAGGCTCTTTCTTTGCATCCATGCCCCAGAAGCTCCAGGTGAGAGGATCTCCTGAGAACAGTCAGGGCAGTCTGCACTGCGGGCGGGAGGGGGAGGCAGCTCTGGCCAATGGCCTACTCTGAGCAAGCTGAGCATTCTGGAACCCTGGCTTAGGGACCACTCACGTGTTATTTCTTCTCCTGCTCCTCCTCCTCACCTCTAGCACTTCTCTATGCCACCATCTTCGGAAATGTGACGACCATTTTCCAACAGATGTATGCCAACACCAACAGATACCATGAGATGCTCAACAGTGTTCGAGACTTCCTGAAGCTCTACCAGGTGCCAAAAGGATTGAGTGAGCGAGTCATGGATTATATCGTGTCCACTTGGTCCATGTCCAGAGGCATTGACACAGAGAAGGTAAGGAGGCTGAGGAGCTCAGGGAAATCATTTGTCTCTTGCTTTCCCTAGGGGTGTTGAGGCTTGCCTAGGACAGTGGATCTCAGACCTGGCTATGCTCAGAATTCACTTGGGTACTTTGGGGTTCCAGGTCCTACCTCCAGAGGTTTTGTTTACTTCTAGATCAGCCTTACTCCAAGACCAACAATCAAAAATCATTAATTAAGAAATTAGAAAAGCAGGGTGTATTTCCTGGAGAAGAGAGGAGCTGGAAGTTTAACTGTCCAGGGTAGAATTTCCCAAACTTGGACGATGATAAGAATCAGGGCCATGACTAGAGAAGGGAGATCAGTATTGCCAATTTTCTTTTTACCCAGACTTGAAGATAGGACAGCACTGTTACTGATCTTGTCTTCATTCAAACTTTCGGTATTTTGTTCATCATGGATTTTTTTGCATTAACCTTGATTTAAAAAAAAATAGCATTAAACTATGATTTATCTTGATTACTGACTTTTTTGGCATTCCCTTAATTTTATGTGCCCAAGGCTGTTGCCTCACTTAGCTCACCCTCATCTTGACCCTGATAAGAATCCCATGATGTCAGGCCAGATGCAGCAGCTCATGCCTATAATCCCAGCACTTTGGGAGGCCGAGTCAGGTGGATCACTTGAGGTCAGGAGTTTGAGACCAGCCTGGCAACATGGGGAAACCCCATCTCTACTAAAAATACAAAAAATTAACTGGGCATGATGGCATGTGCCTGTAGTTCCAACTATTCAGGAGGCTGAGGCAGGAGAATTGCTTGAACCCAGGAGGCAGAGGCTGCAGTGAGCCAAGATAATGCCACTGCACTCTAGCCTGGGCAACAGAGCAAGACTGTCTCAAAGAAAGAATTCCATGATGTCATCATTAAAAACAATCCCAGCCCCCATCCCAGATCTGTGGAATGAGAAGTTGGGGGAGGTGAGGGAACATTTTTAATAAGTGCCCTTAAAAACTATCCCAGCCTTCACTGGATCTATGGAATGAGAACTTAGGGGAAGTGAGAGAGCATTTTTTTTTAAGGAGTTACTCTTTTTTTTTTTTTTTTAAATTATACTTTAAGTTCTAGAGTACATGTGCAGAACATGCAGGTTTGTTACACAGGTGTACATGTGCCATGAATTTTTAACAAGTGCCCAGGCAACCCTATTCACTAGACAAGTCCAGGAAACAGTGATCAAGAGTTTGTGCCTTCATCATCAATTGACTTGACCAGAACATCAATTAGGCATCTCTCTGGTTATTTGTTTTCCCACCTGTAAAATGGAGAGGGTGATAAATTCCTATTGTTCTCTAACGGTTGTATCATTCTAGATGCATTTCAATAGAGTAATGAAAATTTGGTGGTACTGGAAATAATACAGAAAACATACAGTGGACTTCCTATTATTAACTTAAGAATTTTCTTTGCATATTTTCTATAAAAAAGATTTAATCTCAGATCTATTGAGATTAAATCCATTCTCAGTGAGATTCGTTCTCTGCTTCTCAGTCTTTATCAAGTCTGTTTTTTATCACCAGTCTGTAAGTACTCAGGGCATACTGATTCTTTCAACTGTTAGAATGAGGAAAACAGAAAGATAACACGATTGCAAAAATACCTAATGACACATTGCAAACCAAATTCAGCTGGCTTTGGGATCAGCTACTTATGTTCCTAGTCTTCCTTCATTAGAATTGTCAGTTGAGAGTTGACAGTTTAAAAAGAAAAATTGAGCTGAATTTAATCCTCAACTTGAACATTACTTTGGTTTTGCTCACTATTTGTCGTGATAACCATAACGCCACTACTACAACCTCAGCTACCATTTATTGAACATGCATTAAGAACAGATATTTGTTTTGCTTCTTCTATATGTCTGGTCTTGCACTAGTGTCTCATGTAGCCTCCACAGCAACCCTGTTACCCTATTGAAGGGGGTAAGCACAAGAGGCCCGATTCATTTTGCTAACTGCCCCTGGTCACAGAATAAAGAATGGCAAAGCCAGGATTTGAACACCATTTTGTCTGACTTCAAAGCTTGTGCTTTTCCTACTATTACTTAAAAAAATTTAAAACATGTACTAGAGAGAAGGAGGATGAGTCCCAACAGAGTCATTCTAATTTCTTGGATGGGCAGGGCATCAGCTGGGGCTGAACTTAGTGGCTGCCTTTGCCAACCACCTGCCCCAACTACGCCTGTTGTTTCTGCTGTGTTCTCGCAACAATGCCTGTAGGTTCTGTGGGTTCCTGGCAGCTGATGGAGCAGAAAGGAACTTTGATCTCTCTGCCCTAGGGCTCCTTTTCCCAGGCACCAGGATGCCTTTGTAAGTCTGGTTGTCTGGAAAGAAGCCCTTCCCCCCGCTCGCTGTAGGGCTGGCTGGGTGGCTGCCCATGGGAGACAGCACCGTCAGCATTTGCTCTCTCTTACTCTCCCTGCAGATCTGTCCTGCAGATCTGCCCTCACTTTCCTGAAGGGCTTTGGGATTTACCCCAGCTCCTGGTCCAGATGGAAGAGGGAATAGCCGTGGACCCAGCTCACTCTGGAGCCCAGTCTGTCCCGGGCTGGCTGCTCCTCTGGGCAGGAGCTTGTGGCAGGCAACTGCTGGGGAGAGAACCAGTCCTGTCGTCCTGTACCTTTCCACATCTGCCCCTCCCCTCCAATCTAAGTCAGAATGGTCAGTGATAACCAGGGAGCCAGGGCATGTGGGTGGTAGTGCTGGGATACCCCAGTTTTACCAGCTATTGGCTGGTGACTTTGAACACATCGCTTGTCTCTCTCCAAGTCTGTTTTTATGTCTATACACATGGAAACATGATCTTTAAGACTAGGTGACCTCTAAAGCCCTTTTGGCTATGACCTTCTGGACTTCAAAGCCTCCCTGAAATTGCTGCTGCTGCTGCTGCTGCTATGATGACAACATCAAAAATGAGAGCTCACAGGCATTGAACACTTGTATGTGTCAGGCATTATACCAGGATGTTCCACACAACAGCTCATGGAATCCTCAGAAGAATTCTATATGAAATTTCAAAAAAATGAAAACATGGGGAGAGGAGCTAACTATTGCCTCACATTCATGCATCTAGTGAGTGCTGAGGCTGGGACGTGAATCCAGTTCTACCTGATTCTAATGCCTCTTCTCTTACTTAGGACTCCTGTTCTGCCTAGCCTGGAGGAAATTCCACATTGACATCTCCCTTTAGCCTTTGAGACCTTCAAGGAAGAGTAAGGATGGTCTCTTCTCAAAACCTAGCAGTATGAAAGGTGGCCAGAGCCGGGGAGGGTGGCTCTGGGGTCTCAGAGTTGAGACCTCCCCACTCCACTCAGAGAAAGGAATTCCAGACACCCCACCCACCTCAGTGTGGAGCCAATAGATGGGAAGAATGATGGAAATGACTGATGGCTGTGACAGTTTGCAATTTCTCCCCTCCAAGTTCCCTCACCTGCTCACACTGTACTCTCCGTTGGCTCTGGGAACAGTGCCCAGAATAAAACACTGTCTCCATGCCAAGGCCTCATTCCCTAGCAGCCTCTTCCAGGGAAAGAGTAAAGTCTAGCCCAGGGGAAACCATGTATTTAAAGGTGAACTCACCTGGAGAATAAGTCTTGGTTCCAGACTACTGGGCACAGTTTTGACATGGCGTGCGAGTGCGTCCCATTATCTAGTGATCTGCTCAGAGAGAAGAGGAACTAAATTAAATCTGCATTTCTGCAGGAGTCTGTTTTGAATGAGCCTTTTAGAAGTAAGTCCTTAGCAAGTGCTCCGCCCAAGCATTAGTATTCTGAATTTTCCTCTCTGCCTTGGTCTGTCCTGTGTCTGTACTCCCAGAGGGCATGCTCACTTGCTGGGCATCCTGCAATCCCAGATCAAGAATGCAGAGGTACACAGGGCAAGGGCATCTGTGCTTTCCGAATCCCCTACTGGGGTCAGGCTTTGTCCCAGGCTGTGTACTGGTAGATATAATTTCATTTAATCTCACAAGTCAGTGTTAACAGTCTGCATTTGATAGGAGAAAGGAAAGTGTCACCTGGAGGGGAAGGAGCTGGGATTTCAACTCTTTGACCTCTTTCCACTGCTGTACCTCCAAGGAGAGCACAGGGGCACCTGAGGGGGTGGGGATGTAAGTGAAGCCATCGGGGGTGAGGTGAGGTTTGAGCTGGACTTTGAAGGAGGCTGAAAGTCTTCCAGCTTTGGGGATGAGCAGCAGATACAGTAGCAAATGGCTTGTGCTAAGGCAGAGAAGCAGGGGTGGGAAAGTACCCAGAACCTCAAGGAAAACGTCATCACTGAACATATTTGATTTTATGCCCCTAGCTTTGCTTATAAGCTAGGATGGGAGAATGGATTATTTTAGAAACACTTCTGATTTCTCTGGAGAAGTTTGCTTGAAGGTGTCCATACTTAATGCTTGCTATGTAAGGGGCCATGCAATGTTTTATTGCAAACATTTAGTCCAGAGAAATATTTCTCCCTCTAGAAAAACCTGTAAATTTTTAATTTTTTCAGAAGATGAGACCTGCATAGCCTCCTCCAGCTTTCATTTTGCTTGAATTCCAAGATGCTGCCGAGATGTTGATAATAAAATTACAAGCCTTTTTTGGGGGGCAGCTGCCTAGTATAGGAATTGGTTGGGATCTAAACCAGGCTCTGATGTCAAGCTATCTAGTTTGAAACCCCAGGTGTGCCATTTCCTGGCAATTTTGGGCAAGTTATTTATCTTCCTTGTGCCTCAGTTTTCTCATCGTAAAATGATATAATAATAACACTTATACAGTTTATGGGAGGATTAAATTAGCAAATGCACGTAACAGTTTAAAATGTAAAATCATAACCCTGTTCAACTTTGCCTATCCTTCTTTCCTTTTTTTATTGTTTTCTTTAAGCACATACCACTAAATTTTATTTATTTTGCTTATTATTTGTCTCCTCCCATTAGATGGTAACTTATATGAGGGCAGGGAGTTTTGTCTTTTTTTATTTTTATTTTTTTACTGCTTCATCCTCAGAGCCTAGGATGATGCCTGGCATACCATAATGTGTGTGATAAGTATTAAATGAATGAATGATTCTAAAGTGCTTAGCAACGCCTGCCACTCAGTAAGTGCTTAGTAAATGTTACTTTATATCTGTCTTTAAATAACACCCTATATTCAGTCCATCAGCAAATCATATCCATGCTACATTAAAAATCTTTTCTAAATTTAACTGCTCCTCCCTGGCTCTCCTGCCAGCATCCCAGTCAAAGCTTCCCTCACCTCTCACCTGGACAGCTGCAGGAGGGACCTAACTAGATTCCTTTCTAGACTCTTGACACCCTGTAGTCAGCACTCTCTAACATCACTCTGTAGCTTCAATGATCTTCTTCAGATGTAAGTCAGGTCATGACATTCTCCTGCTCAAAAATCCTCCAGTATTTTCTATCATACTCAGAGTAAAACCCAAGGCTTATTACACCTGAAAGTCTCTTGTACTTCGTGTTGTCTTTGATCCTCATCTCCTGCCCCTTTGCTCTCACTCCTTTTGGCCATTGCTCAGGCTCTCTTAGGGTCTTTGTGTTTGCTATCTTGCTGGGATGTTTTTCTTCACATGGCTCACTCTGGCCCTTATGCAGGAGTCAGCTTGTTACCTTCCGGGCCAGGTGCGGTGGCTCAAGCTTGTAATCCCAGCACTTTGGGAGGCTGAGGCGGGTGGAACGCAAGGTCAGGAGATCGAGACCATCCTGGCTAACACGATGAAACCCCGTCTCTACTAAAAGTACAAAAAATTAGCTGGGCATGGTGGCAGGCACCCGTGGTCCCAGCTACTCAGGAGGCTGAGGCAGGAGAATGGCGTGAACCTGGGAGGCGGAGCTTGCGGTTGAGCTGTGATGCCACTGCCCTCCAGCCTGGACGACAGAGTGAGACTCTGTCTCAAAAAAAAAAAAAAAAAAAGTCACCTTCCCAGAGAAGTCTTCTCTGACCACTAGTCTGCAGGAGTCCTACTTACTCCCAGTGCTGACTCTCAGACCCCTGTCCTGAACATTCAGCACAGATTTTTTTTAGAAACTATCTGTCTCATCTATAAGAATATAAGCTCCATAAGGGCAGGAACTTTGGTTAGAAGAGTGTAGTCTGGTGTAGTGGATGTTGCTCCTCCCCCCGAAGTGCTGAAGGCCACAGTGAGGACCCTCACACTGTTTTTTTCTGTGCCTGGCTAGGTCCTGCAGATCTGCCCCAAGGACATGAGAGCTGACATCTGCGTGCACCTGAACCGCAAGGTTTTCAAGGAGCACCCAGCCTTCCGGCTGGCCAGTGATGGCTGCCTCCGGGCACTGGCCATGGAGTTCCAGACGGTGCATTGTGCCCCAGGGGATCTCATCTACCATGCAGGAGAGAGCGTTGACAGCCTCTGCTTTGTGGTTTCTGGCTCCCTGGAGGTGATCCAAGATGATGAGGTGGTGGCCATCCTAGGTAGGTGTTGGCTTTGCTGGATGAGCAGAGGTACCTGGGGTTGGCTTAGCTACTGGGCAGCTCAATGCCACTGCTGCCTTCAGGTAGAGATTGCTTCATAAGGCAGGGCCAATTGCTAATATTCACTTATCTATCCAACAAACAAACAGCGAGAGCCTGTTTGGCACAAAGCCAGTCGCTGTTTGATGTCTGGAGTACTTCAATAAGAAAAATGGGTTTTGTCCTCAAGGGGCTCCCAGTCTACTGTAGGAGACGAACAAATAAGCAGACATTCACAGTACAATGGGAGGCACATCTAACCCAGTATTCAAGTGGGAAGTCTTCCTGTACCTATGCTAAAACTTAAAAATTGAGAATGAGTTAGCATGGAGAAGAGAAGGGATGACGTATCCTAAATGTGTCACATCCTTTCAGAGGGAGAAATTCATGACTCACTTGGGGAACTACAAATTATTTAGTGTGGCTGGAGCACAAGAGGGGACATGGTAAGATGTCAGACTAGGGAGGGAGTGAAGCACTAGTCAGATCGTGGCAGACTCTGGAAGCCACATTAGGTGACTGGGATTATTTGGGGGAGCCAATGAAGAGCTGAAAGCAGGGGAGAGGCATGATGAGATTTGTACTTTAGAAAGATGACAGTAGTTGCAGCTTGGGGAGTGGATTGAATGGGGAAGGCTGGGGTAAGGAGACCAGGTGGGAGGCATGTTATCTAGAGGCAAGTTGATGGTGGCCTGAACTAATACTGTGGCAAGCAGATGGAGAGAAACAGATGGAGTTGAGATATTCAAGAAGTAGAAGCAAGAACCCAATGACAGATTTGCTGTGGCGGGGAAGGAGGAGTCAACGAGGACTATAGGTTTTCTCACATGGATAACAGGGAAGCTGGTACACCATCCACAGCAATAGAGAATGTGGGAGGAGGAGCAGGGACGCGGGGGAACGTGTTGGTAATCAGGGCATTGAGCATCAGTAGCTTTTAGGAAATGTGTCTGGTTTTCTGAGCTAGCCAGAGAACAGCTCTTTATTGGTGGCATATCTCTAAGGGGGCAAGCCATCATCATAATAATAGCTATCATTTATGGTCATCTATTCTGTGCCATTTGACACACAGCATTTGACACACAGATACTCATTTCACCCTTACAGTAACCCTATGAAATGGTTTTATTATCCCCATTTTGTAGATGAGACAATTAATGTTCAAAGAGGTTAAGGAAATTTCCTCATGGCTGATGAAGTTCATGAAACCAGCATTTCAGAGTCCCTCTGACTCCAGAACCTCTGCTTCAATCCAAAATGGATTACAAAATGTAATACTGCAATTCTGATGATAATTTTTTTTTTTTTTTTTTTTTTTTGAGTCGGAATCTTGGCTCTGTTGCCCAGGCTGGAGTGCGGTGGTGCGATCTCGGCTCACTGCAAGCTCTGCCTCGTGGGTTCATGCCATTCTCCTGCCTCAGCCTCCCAAGTAGCTGGGACTACAGGCCCCCGCCACCATGCCCAGCTAATTTTTTTTGTTTTGTTTTTGTTTTGTTTTGTTTTGATTTGATTTTAGTAGAGATGGAGTTTCACCGTGTTAGCCAGGATGGTCTCCATCTCCTAACCTTGTAATCTGCCCGCCTTGGGCTCCCAAAGTGCTGAAATTACAGGCATGAGCCACCACGCCCAGCCTCTGATGATAATTAATGTAGTATGCTGGCCCATTAAGTTGCCAGGTACTGGTAGAGATTGTAAACGTGTTTTATCTTTTACAAATGATTTATTAGAAAACTGAGGCCGGAGGAGATTAAGTTATGCTGAAGTTAGAATTGAGATTCAAATTACAGAGAGACATTAGATAGTGTTATTTTAAAAAAGAAAGAAAGAAAGAAAAAGAAAAGCCCCAACTTTGTTCCCGCTTGACTTTGGAGCACACAATATGTAGCTTCCTTCTTGTTTTTTTGGCCCTAAGCCAAGTGGCTCTCTTGATTACATTTGGCTTAGGTTAACCTAAGGATGATTTATGTTCCTTCAGCATACATTGGCAGATGGTCAGAGGGGGCGTGGGATAGAAATTGGGTGGGGTGGTCGGGTGCAGTGGCTCATGCCTGTCATCCCAGCACTTTGGGAGTCTGAGACGGATGGATCTCTTGGGTCCAGGAATTTAAGACCAGCCTGGGCAACATGGCAAAACCCTGTGTCCACAAAAAATACAAAAATTAGATGGGGGCATGGTGGTATACACTTGTGGTCCCAACTACTCAGGAGGCTTAGGTGGGAGGATCAGAAGCAAAGGTTACAGTGAGACATGATCACATTGCTGCACTCTGGCCTGAGGCCTGAGTGACAGAAGGAGACCTTGTCTCAACAAACAAACAACAACAACAACAAAAAACAAGCAAAAAGAAATTGGGTGGGGAATGGAGGCTGAAACTGTTTGCCAAAATAAGTGTTCTAGATTCCATGGTATCCATTGAACTCTGCAGACCAGGGTTACTCTGTTCCTTGCCCCCTTTTCACAGAGAAGCGAGATTCAACTGTGTATACATAGGACTCGTGAAGGTAAAAACCATTGTTTTAGTATGTCTGATATGAAGGAGCATTTTTCTCTACCTTTAATACTCATCAGTTTCCTTGATAAAGAGGAATTTCTTTTATTTATTTATTTATTTATTATACTTTAAGTTCTAGCATGCACGATAAAGAGGAATTTCCACTGGTGGTCATAGCCATGCTTTTATGTTTGCCTGGCTGAGATGAGCACCTGTTAACTAGCAAGCAATACTTTAAGTTTGACCTTTGACTTAACCCTTTGATAAGGGCATCTTTCACTCATCTTCCCACTGATAACTGACCATATGCCTTTCCATGTAGCTTTCGTGACTCACCACACACAGCTACACTTCTAGGAGTTGGTTTGAACACCTAGACTTAGGCATAGAGGCATGACGGAGCTAAAGAGGGGTGGGGGAGACAAACAGCTTCCTAGCCCCTTCTCATTTCCTTTCATCCTGGGCTTCTTGTGAGGAAGAAACCAGGGCTTGATTTATTGTTGAATTACTTGACCTTGTTGACTGCGTCTCTAAATCTAGCCCTCTACTTTGGGCCTTCCCGGGCATTCTGCCTGCTCTAGTTAGCAATGTGGACAGGATCTCTGAAATAGCTCAGCAGCTTTGGATTCAAAGTGGTTGTTGCCTTCAAGCTGTCTACACTAGAAAAAGCTTCTCCACTTTGTCTCTAGGAGCCAGACTGGGTCTGAAAAGTAGGTCCAAACTCAATATTCTAAATAACTTATCAGATTTCAAGGGGCTCTTATTCTCTAAAACGTCGAGACAAGTCCTTCGAGTCAACCTGAGCTCTGGACAAAGAGGCATAAGTGACTCTAAGCTGTTGGCTCCCTGGAAACTTAAATTTAGAGTTTTGTTCTTGTTGTTTTTCTATAATTAGCATATCTTTGGTCAATGGACTGAAATCAGTTTTTTCTTGCGAGGGGGTTAAGCATCAAATGGGCATTATAACTATATTGTCTGTTGATGCCCTTCAATACAATTCAACCAAAATGCATTGAACACCTGCTATCCGCCAGGCACTCTCATAGGGGTGGGGATATAGCAGTGGACCAAACATTAGTCCAGCCTCCTACAAGTGGAGGGGGCTGACAGTGGAAAGACAGCCATTACTCTGCATGATTAGCATTGACATAGAGAGAATGCAGATATTCTAGAGGATCACTGGATGAGCAATTATTGAGCAGCTACTGTATATCCAGTGCTGTAAAGAGGACAGAAAATATCCAAGTAATCCTTAGTTATCACAAACAAGAGGTTTTAGAAAAAAACGCCAGAGCTCATCCATCTCGCTGTCTTGCTCTTTGTCCTGTTATTATCAATTCACTCATTTACATTCTGCTAATTTGCCCCCTCCTTCCATTTCTAATATTCCACTCACATTCTCTGTTTAATTTTAGCACAGATGCCAAGAACAAAGACAAGGGCCAGTACTCATGACTGAGTGTGTTTAGTTTGTATTAAAAATAAAGCCCTTCTAAGGAAAGTCTTTTAAAGAAGAGTGTTTTTCAAACTTTTGTGACTGGAACCTGCCATATGAAATGTATATTACATTGCAAATGAATACATATACAAGTGCACACACAGTTATACGCAGAATTTGATACTTCTCTTGCTATGTGAGTTGCAACCTGGTATTTTCTATTAGATAATGTTCTCTTTCATTAAAAAAATGACCATCATGACCCACTAAATTGTTTTCCTGACCTGATCACAGTCTGCAGTTTAAAACGTGGTCCCACAAATCTAGATGATATTCTCTGAGGACAGAGAACATATCAGAAATCTCTTATGATCTCCTGTCCCTTTACTCTTCTCTCTGCCTTAATTTTGCATGAAATCCTTATATCTTTTTGGAATTCCCTTAGAAATCATTTAATGGCTTCTCAAATCTAGTTTCTTGGCTCCTTGAAATAAATTTGAGATTTTCACATGTGCATTTTGTTTATTAGATTTTAAAAAGTAATTTAATTTTTTATAGATATCAATATTAAAAGGTAGAGATACCATTTTTCCCCTATCCAAGTAGTACTAGTAGCATCTGCATGTAAGTGGTTATCTTGGTGTTCTGTGTTACCGTGTGACTCAGCAACATAGATGAGTCATGGACTAGCATCTGGGCTGTGCATAAGTGTGTTAAGTATCTCCCTGCATTTCCATCTTATAAGTGCAGTATTTATATGATCTCCTTTCACTGCGATTTAGTGTCCCCTTAGTAATGTTTATGGGTTTTGCATTTTAATACTCAATTTGTATTTTCTTTATGGATCATCTTGTGTTTTTCCATTTTGTGGATTTTTTTTTTTTTTCCTTGGGGCAAACAGAAGTATTTTGGTCAGGCTGCATCAAGCAGTAAAAAGAGTCCTGAAGCTAGAGATTTAACTCTAGTCTTGGTTCTGCTATAACTCCTTGCAGGAGTTGCCACTAGCTGGTTAAGAGTCTTCAAAGGCCTCC